TGTAAATGGGAATAATTTTGTGGCGTGAAGTTTTCGGTACTCCCCCCCGTCCCCTGCGTATCACGGGGTGTCTGCGCGACCCTCAAAGTGTTTTGCTTTTAGGTGGAAGGGGACGAGATGGGCACGGGGCTGGGATGCCCGGGCGGGGATGCGGGCGGGGATGAGTGCCGGTGTTGTCAGCCTGTGATGCGTTACTTGGGCGGCGTGCAGTCGAGGTTGCCTTCCCCCTCCTCGCCCCGGCAGCTTTCCTCTCGCACCATCAAGAGGCTTTTCTCTGCATCCCTAGCTTCTCTGTGCTTCATATGGACGGTCAGATCCGAAGCTTTCTGCCTCCCTCCTGTTCAAGCTGCAGTGGCATAGCGCCGAGTTTCTTTGGGGCTAGGGAATTTAGCAAAGTGCATGTGAAGGAGGCTGCAGCCTGCCCAGAGAGAGCCACGTGAAATGAAGTTGTATCGCGCTCCGAGATCAAATTATCCTTCTCTGCTTTCAGGGAGAGGACTCGCCGCAGCCCCATGCGAGAGCTCGCCGCCGCCTCCTCCTCATCTTGGTTTATATCCCCGGTCCCCTGGCAGACGCTGCAAATGCTCACTCATCAGGGCTTGCTCTCTGTGCTAATGGCCCTCTATAAATAAGCCCCAGGAACAGTGATAGAGAACAATCATAAAAGGCAGGCGCATAAATTAAAGCCGATGTTATAATAAACTAGACAAGCCCTTCATCGAGGGTTTTATGTTTCTCCTTGAGTCGGCAGCTTTGCCAGGAGAAAATGATTTCTGCGCGCCTTGGCCTGGTCCTCCATCTCTCTGCTCCGTAGGTGTGCACGGGTGTGTGCAGGCGGGTGGCCGAAATAGCTGGCATCACCGTGCCCCTTTTTCAGCATTACAGGTGAAAAAGCCACAGGAATTTCCCAAAACAGCCCTCGGCTTCCCTTACGCAGGTCCCTAGGGTGGTGACAGGACCACGGATTAACTGTCCGGGGTGGCTTTGGCCGCTCTTTGTAGCTTTTGGGTAGCTATAAGTGAAATGTAATGCCCCTGGGTGGCTGAGATTGCTGAGAGCTCAGCCCTGCGCCTCCAGAGAAAGGTGGAAGTCGTTGCATTCGCCCCAGTGAGCTGCGGTCAAACCTCACGGGCCTGGAGGGAGATGCTGGTGTATAAAATAGCAGCATCTTGGTGCAGATAGAGAAGCACATGTGGTACCTCTGAAAGGCTGCTCCTTCCCCTTTGCCCCGAAGCGTCTCGCCAGCTGGAAAAGCACGCACCGATGGCTGGCATGCAGGCTTTCTGCCGTGCCTCCAGAGTGCCTCGGGAGTACTATATATACTGCACCGAAAGTCCTGCCTCTCCCGGCGAGTTCGTAGCTGTCTCTCCGCATCATGTCCTGGATGGCTGAAACTTGGCAGGGCAAGCGGGAGCGGCAGGCGGAGCCACCCGCTCCCAAAGTACAACTTTTCCGTGGGGAAGTCGTCCAGGAGATGCAGCAAGTTGTGCCGCGGGCATGGGGTCGTTCAGGGCTCTGGTTCGAGAGCAGGAGTCGGTCTCCTGGTCCTGTGACGCGGCATGAGGCTATGTGCCCCACCGAGAGCAGGAGTCGGTCCCCTGGTCCTGTGACGCGGCATGAGGCTATGCGGGGGGCTTTGGCAGAGCGGGGGCTCAGCTCCAACCAGCTCAGCCTGCTCCCAAACCCTATTTGGACTCTTTGGTCCTGAGCTAATGGCCCTGAGAGCCAGCAGCGAGGATGCAAACTCCTGCTCCGGGCTCTGAGCCCAATTTTGAGGCTGCCCACCCGTCCCTTACAGTGAAATCCAGATAACATCCCTAAGGTGGCAGGTCAGGGATGGAGAGGCGGCAGCAGGTTCCTGGGGGCCCGGCAGGCTCTTGTGCCCCGAACCTGCTGCATTTTGGCTCTGCGGAGGCTGTGCTCGTCTCCACATCTTAACTGCTCCGCTGGCAAGGAGGGGCGGGGCAGAGGGATGTGTGCTGGGGGGGAGATGTTGCCCCGTGCCTCTTGCAGGAGGCTGTGGGGACAATGAGGAGTCCGGCTCGTTAGAGGTTCAGAGCAATTTGCAAGGGCGTATTCAGCTCTGCCATGAATCCATGCCCGGCGATGCATGCAGCTCCGTGCAGCAGCATCGGTGCGAGGGGGGAAGATGCTGTGCAGAGTTATGTGCATCTAGGGGCAGCTCGAACGTATCCCCCTGGTGCTCGAGCATCTTCTCCCTCTGTTTTATGGAGATGCAGCACAGCCCGTGCCGGTGCGGGGAGGTGATGGCCATTACGTGCATGGCAGTGTGGGGAGGTTCGGGGGCAAGGAAGGGGGCAAGGAAGGAGAGGAGGGAGACAGATGGAGGCAGAAAGGGAGGGACCGGGAGAGGGGGCGAGGGGGTAGGCTCCACTTTCTGCTCCCTGCTCCTCTGCGTGCTCCCCCTCGTGTTCAGCTTCACGTATTTCTCCAGCGTTCTCCCGACGGTCCTCTCCGAGTTAATGCAGGGACGTTCGATCTTTCCTGCCACGTTTGCGCCGGAGGAGCCAGACCCCTGTCGGGCAGCCCGCTGGCTGCAGGCTTGCTTTCTCCACGACCGAGGCATCCCCCCTTCTCCCCAGTGAAATTGCAGCGTCAGAGGCACCGCCGGCCTTTCCAAATATTCAGGCCAGAGCCAGATGCTCAGACAAGCTCCGGCAAGAGCCAGAAATCCATAGTTTTGATCGTGCGAGGAGAGGCGTGTGCCGCAGACGTGCCCCGCTGTATCTGCCCCGGCGCTGCTCAGGTGGCCGCTGGGCTCCCTGGAGGGGCAGAGGCTGAGATGTGCCGTGCCAGTGCAGCATCGGATCCCTCCGGAGGCTGCCTGGCCACTCCCTACCACCGCTGCCGCTGCTCATCAGCCCCTCGCTGGTCTCGCACAGGGTCGTTTTCTGCTCCATTTCTTCCCCCAGCCTTTGGATCCCCCCCGCCCCCGAGCTCTCTGCTTTCTTCTTCGTCATCCCGGCTGGGATAAAATATGACTGCAGCCGCGAAGCACCGAGATCGCAGCTCCCCTCGGGGACTGTTTGCCCACATCACCTGTCGGATCGGAGGCCCGCATGTCCTTGGAAAAATATGTATTTCAGGCCGCCGGGGTGCTAATTTGCAAGGCCCATTACTCAAACGAAACATTAAAATGGCCGTCCATAAAACAGAGCCTTTATCCGTGCCTCCCCCTCGGTCTGAACTCCCCACGCCAGGTATAGGCTTCCTGTCAAGCCTAAGAACCAAAAGCAAAGATTTATCGATAGGTACCTTGACTCTGGCTTGCATTTTAATTATTTCGCCGTCAGCCTGTGCCGAGAATAAACTCGGTGGCTAGTGTGTTATCCTCGCTTCATCTCTCCAGATGAATGCACCGGGAGAGACGAGGTTTTATGGAGTCCCTAACAGGGACCCTCTCCCTTTCCTGCGTCCTTTCTTCCCTGCTCATCCGCACGGATCAGCAGAGCAGCCGCTCGGCGCTGAAATACCGATGCCGGTCTGCACGTGAGGCTGGGAGGGAAGGATGCGGGGAATGAGTCCTGTGCATCCCCATCTCTTGGTGCCTTAGTTTCCTTTCATGCAGGAGCTCTGTCTTGGCCTCTCCCAACCCGCTGAGTTTGCGGGGAGGGCAAGCGCTTGTCCTGCCGTGGCCACCTCCACTCCGCCGGGGCGGGAGGCAGAAAGCAGGGCTCGGCGAGGTGCCGGAGCTGAAATTGCTTTTTGGAGGGCTCAATTTCACGCTGGGAGCCAAGCCGCGGCGCCGCGAGGAATTGAGAAGCCACGCTTGTCAGGGAGGAGATGCGATGAACTTTGGAGTTTGCTTGTTTATTTTCCGTATATATTTGTGTGTGTGGGTGTGTATAAATATTATTTGCGTGCGCCAGACGACACTGGTGTCTTGCTTAATGCGGGTGCAACGTTTGACCTGGCACTTTCTGGTGGAAGCAATGCATATTTATTAGCGAGGCAACGGGTGGGAATGAATCCCTCGCTCGCTCGGTGTGGCAGATGCTATCTTAGCAAAGCGGGGGCTATTTTTAAAATAAACAAAAGCAAAAGCAGCTCGGCCGTGACCGCATCTCCCCTGCTAACTTCGTGTCTTGGCCCCCAACCCGCTGAGTTTGCGGGGAGGGCAAGCGCTTGTCCTGCCGTGGCCACCTCCACTCCGCCGGGGCGGGAGGCAGAAAGCAGGGCTCGGCGAGGTGCCGGAGCTGAAATTGCTTTTTGGAGGGCTCAATTTCACGCTGGGAGCCAAGCTGCGGCGCCGCGAGGAATTGAGAAGCCACGCTTGTCAGGGAGGAGATGCGATGAACTTTGGAGTTTGCTTGTTTATTTTCCGTATATATTTGTGTGTGTGGGTGTGTATAAATATTATTTGCGTGCGCCAGACGACACTGGTGTCTTGCTTAATGCGGGTGCAACGTTTGACCTGGCACTTTCTGGTGGAAGCAATGCATATTTATTAGCGAGGCAACGGGTGGGAATGAATCCCTCGCTCGCTCGGTGTGGCAGATGCTATCTTAGCAAAGCGGGGGCTATTTTTAAAATAAACAAAAGCAAAAGCAGCTCGGCCGTGACCGCATCTCCCCTGCTAACTTCGTTACGGAGCCACCTTCTCCCAGGGCAGGAGGGGGGACCGGCCGCCGAGGAGATGCTCTCGGGAAGCTCCCGGCTGTGCAGGGACTGGCTCTGTGAGCTCCTGGCCCCCCAGGTGCAGGAGCTCGTCCCCTGCCTCAGTTTCCCCGTTGGTAGCAGTAACGTGTAGAAGTGACGTAAGTCTTAGCCCGCAGCCTGGCAGGGGAGTGCGAAAGCCTCCCTTCATTAATAAGCACAAAGCGCTTTGGTATTTTTAGATGGAAGTGCCACGTATTGATATAATATTACTGTACCTCGTTTGACTTCTTTTTCGATTGCAAGCCCCCTCTTGATCCCGTTACCTGCAGTAACAGTTATCTGGCTATTTTTTATCATCTGAATATTTCAATTAAATTACTTTAAGGGAAAAAAAAAAGCCTACGCTGAAGTTGGAAATGATCACTGTATCACTCCAACTTCCCTCCATTCCCAGAAGGTTAATTGAAAGGCAGCCATCTTGGTGACGTTTAGACAAATGAGGATAATTATGTGTTCTCCAGCTCTTTGAGAGGTTAATTGCTTAGATGTACGAAGACTTGAAGAACAAAGAAGGAATAAATCAGAAGCAGGACTATGATCTGATAATGTAATTTGGTATATTCACGTACAACTCAAACAAACAAACCCCCTAATTGCGCGAAGTCGTTTGGCCGCATGGACGCCCTGTGGGGTTGCTGGGATCAGGCACCCGGCGCCGGCCAGTTTCGTGCGGACCCGGCCCTCGACGATGCTGGGAGAGGGGGTACCGGTGGGAGAAGGAGAGGTCTTCAGCTGGCCCCTGCACAGGGGTGGCTGTTGTCATCTTGCGCTGGTGATGACTTCTTCATCTGGCGGCACCATGGGGCTGTCATCTGGCTCCTTAGTACCCGTTGCGTGAAGCATCCAGCCCTCATCCCAAGGGTGAAACGGCAGGTGGAAAGCGGAGGGGTCAGCAGAGGCGCAGGAGCGGTGAGGATTTCCTCTGGTGGGTTATTTTATTTTGCCTAATTGCTGGTGAAATTTCTGCAAATTGGCAATTATATTCTTGGGCTGATGGCTTACCCAGGTCATTTACAGATCATGCATTTGGCAGGAGCGCTTCACGGCGGTCGCCATGAAATATGGCTTCACCCTCCATCGGCAGAATTTCCCTTCTTTTAGAGGTTTTTAGTTCTGCCTGCAGGGATTTCGCACCCCAAATCTTGCGGCAACACCATCCTGAAGGAAGCTGATTTTTTTTCCTTTTAATTCCCCCCGGTGATTGGGGTGTGAGGGTGCTTGTCTCCGGGCGAGTTGTCTGGGATTTGGTTTGTCCGTCTGGTGGCCCCTCTGTCCTGCTGGGATGGGGTACACGAGGCACTGGGAGCGATGTCCAGGTGCGAGGGGTGCAGATGGAGGGAGTTGATTTTCCCCTCGCCCATCCCTGCACGTCTGCCTGCCGGCACCACAGCGAGGGGTGCAGCGTGGAGCTGAGTGCCTAGAAAGTCTGGGCTTTTATCGAAGGCTCGGGACTGTGCAAAACGCCAAGCTTTCCAGCCGGGATCAAATACCGCTTCATTTTTCAGCCGTGAGGGTCAGGAAAATGATGCTTTTCTTTCTCCACTGAGAGCTTGGGGGTGAAACATCTTCATCTGGAATCTCCTTTCCCCCTCTGCTCTGTCTCCGGGGAAGTTTGAATTGATTTCAAATGAGAAAATGCCTCCCCACCCCTAACGTGCGAGGAGCCTCAGCCTCTGAAAAACCGGTGAGTGGTTTTTCTGCCTATCTGTCAGGCCCGTCTGAAATTGCAGTTTAATTCTCTGTATTTGCTCTTGTATTGTGCATTAAGATACAGCGAGTTTATCCAGCAGTCCAGCTTTTTTGAAGATAATTACTACAGAACTCAACCTGATGTAAAATAATCCTCCCGGGCAAGCAGCCAAGAGCCTGAGACTTATCCTCCAAAGACTGAAACCTCTCCATTACCCTTAAGAGCCGCAGAGATAGGAGCAGGCGTCTCATGACAAATATATTTTTGGTGGTAATTAATGGGGGGCCGGGAGAAGAGGTTTGCTTCCCCCCGACTCATATTGGGGAGGGTGGTGCAGCCGGACAGACCGACCGAGAGCGTGAAGACCACGTGCAATGGAGACCTGGCTGGGTTTCCATCCAACGCGCCCTACGTGCCATCATTTCCCCGAGGGACCTGTTTCAGGCTTGTTACCCTCATGCCCTTCTGCCATCCCCCTCGCTGCGTTGTCCTGCGCTGGGGCTGCTTCAGACCAATTTTCCCTCCTTGCAAGCCAGGGACGGATCGGTTTGCTCCGGTTGTACAGAAGCTCCTTTTGTCACAGGTGCACCCTGGCCCCTGTTTTAATCAGGCTGCCAACATCCTTTCTTCTTTTGCGACTGCGGGATGCTGCCGGAGCTGTGGCCACTCTCTCCCGGGTTGAAAGAGGGCCCCCTTCCCCGGCCGAGACGGAGACGGTCGTTAGTCCCATCAGGATGGCTGAATCATAGCGGTCGGAGCCTCGTATTGCCACACATTAATTACTGGTACTTAACTACATGGCTAACTGTGACAGCAAAACAGTTATTTCTGTCTCTCCCTGCCTGGGAAGGTGGATGAAAAAACATAGAAAAAAGCAATAGGAAGGGAAAAACCTAACCCCAAAACCCCACCGCAGGTGTAGAGGGCTCCAGGTTCTCGACTGTTTGGGTCTGCTAGCACCACCAGCAGTAAGCTCCGCGTTTCTTCTCCTCCTTTTGATTGAAGAACACTAGAAATCAGCCGGGGCGCAGGTGCTGCATTGTGTTAGATTAGCGCTGATTGAATTCGTACACGGGCGCTGATTGAGGCGCAGGGCTCTGCCGACTCCGGCGTGCCACAAGCAGGGGGGTTTGCCGGATCGTGTCCCTTAATCAGCACCCTTGAATTGTGGCAATGGTGTTGGCGGGCGTCTCTTGTTGGTGTCTCTTTTCTTCCCCGCTGGGACGTAAGGCAGAGCCCCGGTGTAGGGTACAGGGGAATTTGGCTTCCCTGATGAGAAGACAGCTCTCTGCCGATGTTTCCTAGCACGGGTAGTGATGCCTTGATGGTAAATGCTGGTGGACGTTGGTCATCTCTTTGGAGAGGAGCTGGAAAGATGTCCCAGCCTTCTTCAAACCACAGGATGGCCCGGTGGCCACGAGCAGGTTGGAAATAAGTGCCCGGCTGTGTCAGGGACCTGACTTTGGGGAGAGAGTGCAATCACTTAGGTACCATTTTGGGCAAGGAAAGAAGCCTCGCTGCACTTCTTCCGATGTCTGCGGTTTTCCTGGACTGGCTGCCCCTGCTCGGTGCCTTCATTTTCATCTCTCTTTGGGAGATCAGGTGTGGCCGCCAGCATGAACGGACTCTGATGTTAGCATTTAAGTGCCACCTGCTCTATAAACATCCCCATTGATTTGCTCTATTCAAAGGCCTTCCGCTTTATTTCTTTTGCTGCCGCCTCATATTTCCTTATGAAGATTTCTCTTAAGCTAATAACAGCTGTTGGCCATTGGGGCTTAGGCAGATGCCTTCTGACCTTCCCCGCTGCGCTGTGGGAGCATCCCGACGCGTGGACGCAGCCGGACCGCAGCTGCGGAGCGAATTGGGGGCTGCTAGGCTGTTTGCAAACCCAGTACAGTCCTGAGGGCAGAGAGCGCTGCTGTTATTTTCTGATCGGCAATGCATTTCAGAGCAGATTGCAATGGCTGTGACTCGCGTGGGGCAGGGAGAGCAACCAGGAGCTTTGTGCAGGGCAGGGACATGATGGCTCCCTGCAGGAAAGGGCTCAGGTAGAGCCCCGATCCAGAGCTCGCTGAAGGCAGTGCCGACCTTCCCGGGGGCTGCAGAGGGTTTCTGAGCAGACCCTGAGTCATCAGGATACAGATGTGTTGTCGTGTCAGAAACAAGGGACTCATGGTGAGAGCCGGGAGCGGAGCATGCCCGAGCACCCGACCCCATCACGGCACCCTTCCCCTTGCCGATGATGTTGTCAGGGCGGCGTGTGTCCCCCCCCGTAAGCTGGAAGTAAAAGCAATGAGGAGTGAACAAAGCCTAGCTCGCTTTAACAGAGCCGACTGCGGTTTCTGGATTTGCTCGATGTGGAGCATTAATTCAGAAAATCCCGTGAACGGCTTTGGGAAGAAGATGTGGTCACTTAGCGGCAGCGGGGGCACCGTGCAGCCACTTGCCTCGCTGTTTGTCCCTTCCCCGTGCAAACCAGGACCTGTTTCTAAGCCACCCGCAGCTCAGCTCTGCCTGCGTCAGCGTTGGCATCGTGCCGTGCTGCCCATGGCAGTATCTGGGTCTGTGGTTGCCTTCGAGACCAAAGGTGGGCGCAGACCCCCTCCCCAAGCCGACGTCAGCTTGAGCTTGGCACCGACTCGGTGTTGGGCTCAAACTTTGCATCCCCGGGGTTGTCGCAGAGGCCACGCAAAGCCCTGCGGATGCTGGGTGCAAACCAGCTGGTGGTGTTCTGTGCGGCTCGGCCCCCTCAGGGGCTGTACGGCGAGCGTTAAGTCTTGACTTCTGATGCCTCGTACAGACAGCTCCCGCCCTCCTCATCATCTTGTTATTATTCTAATGTCTGGGAGCTGCAGTCATGGACCAAAACACCATTAAACTATCTGAAATGGAGCAACTCGACAGCCCCTGCCCTCACAGGCTTATTATCTTTGCAGATGGATATTTTATATTTAGCAACCTCTAATGTATCAATTTGGGCTTTGATTTTTCACAGGGAGCAGCTTCTATTCTGGTGCTCGGTAGTGGGTGCGCAGACTTCCACCGCAGGGGAACCGGCGGGGAGAAACCCTCCCTGACAAGCCCCGAACCTCTGGGGAGGGCAGGAGGGTCCCGTAGCCCTCAGAGGGCTCTGGGGAGGGGGTGGTTGGTGGGGAAGGGTTTGCCAGTGGTCCGGAGCTTGTTTGAACAGCACTGGGAGCGCTTGGGGAATCCAAGCGGCGCGGTAGCGGTGGGCCAGGCAATTAATTAAGCTTGCAAGAGAGCAAGTGGCGCGTGGCTTTGTGGGAGGCATTTGGGGTGACTGGTGTGTGGTGCGGAGGGAGGGAGCTTATGGGGAAAAGGAGAACAGTTTAGGCTGGCCGAGCTCCCTGCGCATCCCACGCTCTTTGTTTTCCCATGGGGGCCACGGGTGCAGCGACGGGTCGGGACTTGCCGAGCGGGTGGCGAGGGCTGGACAGGAGGTGGTTGTGCTGGGCGATGCCGAACGGCACATCCCGGGTCCCCTTCTGTCCTCGGGGCGCTGGGATGGCATGGGGATGCTGTGGGGGTCGCACATCCCACATCCAGGTGCCAGGATGGATGGGAGAGGTGGGAGAAGGGGTACCGCGGGTGCCTCAGAGAGGAGACAGGGTGCCAGCAGAAGGGATCGGGAATGAAGACAAAGTGCCTCCTGCCCTCCACACTGAGAATAAATATCAGGGATGACAGTGATGGAAACCCAGGCGGCGCAGTCCTGCCCTCGGGGAGCTATTGTGCGAGACCTGCCGTCACACGCTGCAGATGCCATTGTACCCGCGGCTAATTTGACGGTTTACATTGTTGGGAGAGGATTAGAGGAGCCGCCGCGTTTTGATGGTCTGCTTCTAATTTGCATCTTTAACGAAGCGGGAGCCATGCCAGGTTCTGTTCTTTTGTGTTTACTTCTGAGGAAGTGTGTTTATTTCCGATGATTACAAATAAATCTCCTCTGCCTTTGCTCCAGCCGCCCGGAATAAAAGGCGTTCGGAGCCCGTTAACTCTGTAGCTGGGGCGAGTACCGGAAGCAAAGGAGAAATCCCATTAGGAGTCCCCGGCAAATGTAATTAACAATTTCTTCTCAGACAAGGGTGCCGGGGTGTTTGTTCTGCCCCTGTGACAGGTATTTTTGGTTGGAAACTTCCCAGGGTGAAGCACCACCCTCTCGCTGTCGAGGGGCTTCGCTCCCGATCCAGGTGAGATTCAGATCCAGAGCTATCTCACCTAATCTCACCTATCCAGGTGAGATTCTGATCCAGAGCTATTTTAGCCGCTGAAAACTGGGTCAGCCAGCCAGTTTGCGACTGGTTTCAGCATCTCCATTTGTCATTTTGACGAGGCACGTTGCCTACAGGAGAGAAAAGCAGTTTGGGGTTGAAAGTATTTAAAAGTAGAGCATTGTCGGTTTGCATAATGGAACGGGAGGGTTTTGGGTTGATCCAAAGACGAGCATCTCCCCCGAGCCTCTCGGCTCGGCCAGGAACAGCGGTCCCAGGTCTGCGGGTGCGAACCGGTCACCGGACTGCTTGGGATGCGCATCAACGTTTTGGGGTCCCAAGCATCCCATCCCTTGGGATACTTTGCACCCACGGAGAGGGGTTTGCAAGACTTGCTTTATTCCTCCAACTCTTCCCGTGCCATTTATCCCTCCAAACTAGTGCCAGAAAACTTGTGCCGACCCTGGACACGGTATTTCCCTCACCACGGGGCAGGTGTCGAGGGCAGCCCCAGCCTCACGCTGCATGTGCAGCCCCAGGCTTGGCCCTCGTGCTCAGCTGAGTCAGCAGTGCAGGAAAGGTCTGCGACATGGACCGGGAAAGGCGGGGGATGAAGGCGGCGGGTGTTATCTCGCGTCCTGCGTGTAGGAGAAGCGCTGTCAGTGTCATTGATGGGGCCAGGCAGGAGCCTGCCGTCGCAGCGACGTGGGGGTCTCTCCTAATAGGTCCGGGAGGAGGGAGACGGTCACTTTGTGCCGTGAAACACAAAGAGCACGTCAGTGGAGTTATCTGTATTGTTGACACTAAGTGAAATAATTCCTCGGCAAACTCCAAAATTAGCATTTATGGATGAGGAATGGGGGCAATTAGAGGGGAAGCGGCACAGCGCCGGTGCCCCCAGCTCCCTCCCTCATGCATCTTCTGGCGCTGCCGCATTCGGGTTCATCGCCCGAGAGGCCATGTGCATCAGTGTGAGCGTTGCGGGGGCCGGAGCTCGGGCAAAGCCCAGCATCCAAAGCTCCCTGGCAAGCCGCTCTGGCGGAGAGCAGTCGTGGTGGGAGGCAGCCGAAGGGCTGCAGATGGTGAAAAGTCTCTGCTCGAAGGCAGTGAGGGAAGTGAGATGCAGAGATGGAGGAACAGATGGGACAGGTCGCGTTGCACGAAGAAGGGCTGCGTGGGGGAGCCGGGACGAGGCGGGTGCCGGGGGCTGTGGTTTGGGCTGACAAAATCAGTCCCGAGATATTCCCCCCGCCTTGCTGATGGGGGGTTCTCCAGGTGAACCGCGGAGCCAGGATGGGTTTATTTCCCTCCCGTCTGACATGCGTTTTATTGTCTTTTGTCCCTTCCGGACTCATAAGGCAGGGTTTCTTCTGGAGATGGATAGGGCGCCTTCAGGAGACTGTTAATGGGGGTTTGTCTTTGTTCTTAATTAGATCCCTTCAAGGGAAAAACCTCCTGGCCTACTTTATTATGCAGCTTTGTCAGAGCTTGTCTGCTTTATCTAAACACTTTGCGGAAGTCTCTTTACCTGTTTGCTTACTGGAGACATTATCATAATCCTGGTCAATTGGAAATAGGTAGCAAAGACGGCTCGGCAGACGAGGGAGCGCTGGCGGCTTAGCGGCTAACAGAGATCGCTTTCCAAGCCAGGTAAAGAAACTCGCAGTGGGAAGGTGAGGTCGGGCGAGAATGTGCCTCTGGAAATGCTGTGCTCTCCGTGGCAGCTGACGGACGGTGGCTTTTCTGCTGGTCGTTGCTCTGACACATTGCTAGGAGGTGCAGGAGGGCTGGTTTTTTGAAGGAGGGCAGTTTGTCTGGTCCCTCCCCACCTGCAGCTGCATGGCACAGCCCGGGCTCCGGTGGAGAGGAGCACGATGCTAAGCAAGCAGAGCCGAAGGGACTTGGTCCCAAATTAGCTATTCAACGGCAGGGATTGAAGAGTGAGCTCGAGGGATGGGGAGAAGGAGCCTTTGCCTCCTTGCTCTTGGCATGAGTTTGTTAGATGAAGGAGTCTCCAAGTTGCTCCTGTCCATTTGCTCTGAGTGGTTTCGAGGGTGGTACCGGTCACCAGGTGCTACGGGCAAGGGAGGGGGATGCTGTCCTTGCCCTTCCTTGCGTGAGCATGTCCGCCCATGTTATGGGCATCCCTGTGCACTTGTGCAGGTGTGGCTCTGAGCCATAAACGTGAGCTGTAAGTGCAGAACGAGCGACCCTGGTTCTCAGGGGTCCCGGACCGGCCCCAAATCTCCCCGGGAAGCACACCCGGCACACGCCAGCCAAAGCCGGGCAGTGGCGGTCGAACGTGCCCGGTGACGGCACAAGCTCCTTATCCCTGTCACTTCAAACCCTAGTCCTTGTGCTTCACCCCTAATGAGGGGACCCGAGAGTACCTCGCAGGGCTGTAGTCTGGATATTTATATGAGCGCAGACATGCAAGTTGTCTGTTTTACATATTGCTGCCCTGATTTTCCAGTGCACGCAATGAATAATTTACAGAAGCCGTGTGTAAGTATCTCTTTATTATTCATTATAAAGAAGTGAGACAGCAGTAATAGTCCACTAGACTGGAATCCCCCAGGGCCAAACTTAACTCGGCTGCGCTTAGCTCTCCCCCAGTTAATTTGAACAAAGGAGGGCTCGGCTTCCCGACAAGGACGATGCCGGCTGCCGGCACGAGGCCGCGTCAGTCCCGCGGGCCAGGCCCGGCACCACTGCGGGCACTGGGGCGCGTCCGACACCTGGGCGCGCTCCCGGCATGCTGGCAGTGCTGCGGCGGGCACGGAGGGCCATCCATCTTTCCCGTACGCGATGTGGCTGGCAGAGACGTACAGCTCCTGCAAGGGGAAAATTACTTGTTTGCAGGAGGATATATGGCTCGTTCCTCTGAACCGAGCACCCGGGGGGACCCTCAAACATGCTAAGCATCGCCCCTTCCCTCCACCCGATTAATAATCTCGATCGAGGTGACGCTCTGCAATCCCAGCAAGGGAGGCATATAACACCCCCAAAGCCTCTGCAGGAGAGGCGCCACGGCGGGGACGAGGACAGGGACAGCCCGACAGCCCGTCTCTGAATTTGCAGGCATGCAGAGAGGGACTTACATGAGTTTCTTGATTGACTGTAGGCACCTTTCCCCTAAGATCTCGGCTGCACAAAGCTGCGGCAGCGCTGCCGCCGGCGGCACAAGCTTGCACTTAGGTTCGCTTTCCTGGTTTGCTTTCACACCGAGAGAAAGCTCCCCTACCGCGGTCCTTGGGTGGGAAAGGTAAAGCTCCCGAGAAATGCTGGGCTCTTAATTTAGCCAAATGCTTGTCGGTTTTGCTGCGGGTGCCGCGGCGGCAGCAGGGAAGGCCACAAGTAAATAGATCAAGAAAAAATCTATCAAACGGAATGAAAAAGCTGTTTTCTCCAGGAACATTTGAATTCCCTTCCCCCCCGCCCCTCTGTTCTTTGCCACGCGTAAGTCAGCGCCGCAGGCCGGAGCTGCCGAGCCATCCCATGTCTTGGAGCAAGGAAGGTGGGAGCCAGGCAGGAGATAAATAATGGAAGTGACCGCATTGTGTTTTCAAGGCACTTGTAGGATTTACAGCTGCTTATCCAAATGTTCCCCTCTCTTCCCCGTGTGCTGGCTTCGCTGTCTCCGGCTGTTTCTCTTCTTCCCTTCTCCCCACGTGTGTGTCGCGGCCCTTCTCCCCTGGCAGTGGGTGTGTATATCACCCCGGGGATGGCTCGAGGGCCGTGCCGACAAGCCAA